AGAGGAGTATTCTGGCAACATCATCACTTCTCTTTTCTAAGCCTAAGGAAAACCTCTCTGTGCCACCTGAGATCTGCTTATGGAAAACCAAATTTTATCCTCAGTCCATTCCCATAGAAACCCTAGCAACAGATAAGCCCTAAGGCCCTGGTGCTGTAACCACTCTGGCATGCGATTAACTAGAATGTTATGCTGGCTTCACTGGTGCTATCCCCACAGCACAGAAGAATAACCCACACCAGCAGTAACCTGGCTGGTTTTGTTGCCCTTTTTGAGAGGGAGATGCCGGCTGGCTTTCCAGCAGAGGGGCTGGCAGAGTGGGAGAGTTTGGAAGAGCAGCCTTTGCAGGCTTCCCGTAGGGCTCTCGCTGCTGGCTGACCCACACAATCGTTGCCAATGACTGGGGAAGATGCCCTACGAAACCACACTGCCCATTTTCTTTTCAGCAAAGCATAACTTGGAGTTTTCGCTTGTGTGGGCAGAAGTTTTCCACTACTGGTTGGAAGGTTAGAATTAGAGATTATTAGAGTTGATTTGACTTGCTTATCAGGGAAAAAACAGTATCTACTGACTTCATAATAGCCAAAAGTAGTGGAAAAGGAAATTTCACTTTGTAGCTCCTCCATGGAACAGTTGTACAAGGATGTCATTGCCTTTAGGACAACAGATTTTCTGATGCGAAAAAACCACAGAGTGGGTATTTGGCCAAAAGTCCTACTACTGGGGCAATTTTTGTTGAAGTTTCATGAGTTTTTCGCATTTGCAAAGCACCTATAGCCCACTCCACCAATAGGTAGATCAGGCCTGAGTGGGTTTCCAGAATTAAAGTGTAGCTGAATCTGGTAAACAGGTTGCAAATACAGCAGTTTAGAATGATTTTGTAGTCGGATTCCCTTTAGCCACTGTGAAACCTGCTGTGAATAGTTATTCATAGAAGCTATAGTTAGAAGAAGTTCAAATAATGTTTTGTTGAAAACCTAGGAGAGAATTTAAAGCACTTAAAAATGGGACACTGCAAAATGGATATTTTCAGACATCTCACTCAATAGAGGGTAGTAAGAGATACTGGAATGGTCTGAATTTAACTCTGATACAGATCTTTCTACTGATATCCACAGGATCACTTGCAGGAGCAAACATAGGAGATTATCATAGTTGTGCATGGAAAAAAAAGCCCTATGTCTGTACTGAAATAGCTCAAAACATCAGAAAATAGACTTAGCACCACTCTGAAAATCTGCCAGTTTATCAATTAACGTTGATGTAGAAGAACAGGCCTGAATCAATACCATAAAAGTCATGTATTTTGATCATGTAGAATTTTATGTTGGGTAGCTGAAAATCCTATATAGGGTGTCAGGTTGAGGACTAAAAATGCTATGGATACTAATAATATTCTTATGAAGTAAGTAAGAGGAAGGCTTTATGGGTTTAGCTGATTTTTAAAATAGAATTTGCTGATCTCCTGATTTCTGTTTGTCTTACTAACTCTCCTCACTTTTTCATCTTTATGTATGTTATTTATTAATGCTCACAGGCGTAGAAGTGTATTTGCTTTCCTAACTCTGCTACCCTCATGCCTTTGGACTGATTATCTTTTGGCATTTTATATTAATCCTTGGTAAGTGATTTACTTGTTTTTCCATATGCAATGTGTAAACAATGTTAATTTCTATTACATGAAAAATGTGTGATACCTTTGTTTTCAAATGGGTCAAAGCTCTTGAAGATATAATTTTGTTGTACTAGAACATGGATTGGAGAGGATGTGGGTATCAAAGTATTTGCTACCCTGCTTCATCTAGTTTGTCTGTTTATGCTCCAACCCATTTTGATATTAAATAGCTAATCTTAAGGTGGTCATCATAGTCACCTCATTGCTTTCTTTGCAATTTTTGCCACTTCATTATAAGTCCTGGCTTTTTCTGTCCCAGTTATTCATCTGTTCATTGCCTGGCATTGCCTGCTGCTGCTGCTGCTTTTCTATTACTAAAATTGCTTGATTGTGCCCCACCTGTTTGGTGTGTGATGTCAAATACCTTCCTTTTTAAAGGCGCAGTTTTGCTCTCCTGACATCAGTAGAAGTTTTGCTTTTGGAAACAACAGTTCAGTGAGAATCCGTACAAACTAGCAGTCCCAAACACTGAAAATTGGGTCACTGTGTGCCCGTTTGTGTCTGCATGTGTGGGTGTTTAGTGGTTTAGTTGGTAAATAGTTTATAAATGCTTAGTAAATAATTGATTGTTTTTTTGAAAATATCTAACCAACAAAGCGTCAGGGTCTATTTCGAGCAGAACAGTTTTATGAACCGTTTAACAAAACTAGTTGTAATTGACTATGATCCAAAAATGCTTAACTTATATAAAAGAAACTTAAGTTCCTGATGGTCTTGAGTCCGGGATGTAGTGATGTACAAAAATGTGTTTGGTACCAAAGTTAACATTTACTTTTGGCCAAATGTTTTCCCTGGTGTTACCATACAGCACCAAAGCCCGGGTAGGCAGTCACCAAAATCATCAGCACAGGAATTTCTGAGACTGGTTTTCCTTGGGTCACACTGGCGCTGTAGAAAAACCCATCTACGTGGACAGTGGGCCCAGAAATACAAGTGTTTTTTTGTAACTAAAGAAAGGTCCATTTCTTCTCCTATGATAATAAAAGCATGTTCACACACATCCAGCTGAACAGCAGATGGAAGTCTCCAACATCTCTCCAAGTCTAGTATTATATTAACTTGTAACTTGCCTGGCATAAACTCAACTAATTATCAGAGCTGTGTGGTGATGGAGGATCTGGCAAGCAGTTTAGTATTGTGGAGGTCACACTTGACTCTCTAATGGTCAAGAAGCCCAAGGTGGCCACTGTCAATGGCACCGCTGCAAAAAGAGTCACCATCATCTTTTGCCCCTTTGCCTCCTATTGTTTGATGTGCATTAATATGCATCAACTCACCTTGCTAGATATGTAGCTTGCTTCAGAGGTTTCCTCTTCAATCAAGCTACCTAGTTTAGTTTAGATTACCAAGTTTAAAGGAGTCGAAGTTGAATGAGATGAGATTACTGCCTCTCTTTGTATTCTAATCTGTAGGGTAAATGGAAGAACAGATGAAACACCAGCTAATGTTTCAAATGTCTTTGTTTTGCATACAAGTTGGTTTAAAACATTTATGAACATTCAGGAAACAATTGCCATGCTAAGAAAAAAAGGGCCCTTGAGGCTATCAAAGCACAAGAAATTGTTGCTGAGAAATGGATGTCAATCATTTGTTTTATCGCCTCTTGAAGCGTTCCTTGGAGAAGCATTCTTAGAAGCATTCCCATCATAGACAGTACTTAGATATTTTTTCTTTTGAAATGAATTCTAACATGCCCAACATTAAAAGGTTTACCACAGTCACAGGGGATAAAAAAGAAATGCATTGAATGGTTTAGATAAATTTTAAGATTTCTTTGGAAAAAATCTTTGAAGATGTAGAATAAATACTACTAGGGTACATGTATAGTACACAGGAATGTACAGATACTATATAGATAGTATCTGTATAGATAGCATGGTAGGCTGAAGAGGTTTATAATATTCGCAAAGTAAAGCTTTGCAAAGTAAATCGTGACATTGGTGTAAAGCTAGTATTGCTATAGCTCTTGTTAACTCTGTAGGCAAAGCTCCGCATCTAAATGGAAATGTACCTTGACAAGATAAAAAATTTACTACAGGTCGTGGCTGCTCCAAAAACTGAGCATTTTGTAGAACTTAATTTTGGAAATGAATTTATTTCTTTTTAATTCCAGTTCTAGACTTAGCCGGGTAGAAAAATAACAATACTCCACTTTTTAATATTATTTTCTGTATGTTTTCATTGTTTTGAAATTAAAAGTCTTCAGCTTTAATTTACTAACTGAAGTTCTCAACTTATCTAGAAATCATTTTAATATCATAATGAAAGTGAAAATAGCATCATTATAATGTGATTGACGAACAAATCTGATTTAAAGCCCGGGGGGGAGAAAAAACAGCACTGCTAGGATCCCTTTTGAGTAAGCAAGAATCTGTTTGTGCTCTGTGGCTGGTTTAACAGAGGGGATCAGTGTTTTCAAACCTCTAGCCAAACTATTCCAGGGTTCTTGCTTTGTGCATTTAATCTGATTCGTTGCTTAACTTTTCTGTGGCAACAACAAAATGGGCACAGACAGCCCTCCAAAAAACCCCCATGGTGGTAGTTAGTGTAGCGCAGTTCTTAACTCCATTTCTTACTGGTTATACTGCTTAACACACTCATAAACTTGCTCGCAACTGTTGCTGGTGAATTATGTCGGTTATAAATCATGCGAAGAGACTGTATTACATGAGTGGCATAATTATCGCAAGGTGTAAAAGTCAATTAAAATTATCAAAGTTTTAAGCTTGAGTCCCACTGAAGTCAGTAGGATATTTGCCGTTGTCATCATTGATCATCCTAAGCGGGCTGCAAAATGGGTGAATAATAGTCTTCAGGCCCTGTCCTTTTTCCTTCACCCTTCCTTGAATTTGCAGATAGTGGGTCTTCTCCCTGTACCCAACAGATGCGTCTCATTCCCAGTTGTTCTCTCGTGCTGGCATCTGGGTTCCCAGTGCGCTGGAGCCGGAGCAGGGCAGCCTGGGGCAGCAGCACCGTGGTGCCCCGTCGCCTGCCACCCTACATTCACCTGTGATCCCACAGCCCCCTGCCACTCCGCATCCCCCTGCGATCCCAGAGCCCCCTGCCAGGCTCGGACCCCGGGGGCTTGCCCCCAGCCTGCCTGAAGCCAGCCAGGTGCCGGTGGGTGGGGGTCTGTAGAGGACCTGTTGCTTGTGTTGGGCACAGGTTTTCCCTGTCACAAGCAGGTGGTTCTCAGAGCCACAGAAAGGAAAATGCATCCCATTGACATAAGTGGAGACTTTGCTCTCTGCTTAAAAATGCCCAAGATATCACCAATCTCATCCTGACTATTATGGTGACCAGAAAACATACGTTCTTAAATCAGTACTAACTTTGAATAAAGAATGCACAGTATCTTATTGAATGAACACCCCTTCCCCCTTTTTTTTTTACAGGAGTAAAAATGGATTAAAGAAGAGAAAGCTGACCAAGTATGTAACTTCTCTGATATTTGAAGAAATAAAAAAAATACATTGCCTTAGACTAAACATGCGTTATGGAGTACATGGTGTAGTGATACGACAGTTACAGATACAGGAAACTTCTTGGTAAACACATCCTGAGAGAGGTGTCTGAAGGCAGAAGACAAACAATAATTGGAAAAAAAGCAATTCTTCTCAATAGATAGGTTGTGGCAAAACAGCTCCGTACTGATAGAAAATTAATCATCGGGGAAAAGATCAATTATCCAACTTAATGATTCCAGCAGAGTTTATCCTTGCTTACAAATGACAAATGGTGAAAAACTGGGATGCATTTGTTTCTAGTGATATTTCCCTCTTGACATGAGGCTCTCATTATGGTTGTTGCTAGAACACTAGATCATTAATGCTAACGGGTAAACAGGAGTAATTAAGTGGTGATAAGACAGGTTCCTTTGGGCATATTGCCTCAATGTAAATGAAAAGATTACTGTGTACATGCTTCAGTAGCTTGTAAATTAGCGCATAGTAATTAGGTGAGGGAAGCTGTTTACCTGTGTTTCTTTATTCAAAGTGTTAGCCTAATTACTTCTTCGTTATGTTCAGAGGCTGTGCCTGTACTAACAGATAGACCCTCACCTGGTGAAAAAGCGTGTAGAATGGTGGGAGTCACTAAATTAAGGCTAATTTATACCTGCCGAAGCGCTGCATCGTTTTGTGTAGTTATATGCCACTTTTTTTAGCCACCATCTCTCTGGCAGGAAAATTTGACAGCAGGGAAAGCAGTCATGGCAGTGGCGTACAAAATGCTATTTTAGGGCATTTTTTTTTTCTGGACCTTCTAAAAAAATCAAAACTGGAATATGAAATCCATTTTTCTGTATGAGCAAAACTCAGATGAGTTTTAAAAGTGTCTCTGCTAGATGTGAAAATATCTGAAAGCAACGTTGTACGTGGCAGAAGAGGCAACTTCAATGAAACAGCAGCTGCCCTGGTGCCTGAAGCAGGCTGCTGGGGTGGTACTGAGCGTGGGTCTATGATGGGCTGCTGGATCGCTGCTTGTCACGGTGCCATCTGTGCCTTGGGGACATAGCCACCAGCAAAAGCAGTTCAGGGGCCAGGGAATCGTAGGAAGGGTGCATGGGCCATTCCCCTCGCCTCAGGTGAGCGGTTTCCCTCAGGTAGGACGACTCCAGCCCCCACAAACCAGGGTGCTTTCTGCCGTCAGCACCAGCAGCACAGCACTGAGCTCACCCAGAGGGGTCGGCAGCCCTCTCTTTTCCTCTTTATGGTTGCTTTCTAACATTAGCAGTTGCAAATGTACGTATTCATGACTTGATAGTATTCTGGGGGAAAATGTACATGTTCATGACTTGATAGTATCCTGGGGAAATAGTATGACTTGACAGTATTCTGGGGGAAAATAGAAATAAAACATACTAAAAAAGTTCCTTCCTTTTTTTTTTTTTTTCTTAATTTCTGTGTGTTTTTCTTTTAAAGCCCTGTCCAGTTGGATGATTTTGACGGCTACATCAAAGATATGGCCAAAGATTCAGATTATAAATTTTCTCTGCAATTTGAGGTAAATCTGTGGGGACTGTCTCCTCTCCGAACTGCCATGCCTAGATCAGCTTTTTCCAGATGTCAAGTTTGCGTGGGGTGTTCCTGTGCTCTCTGTTGTTTAATGTGTGCTGTTGCTAGGTGGGTCAGCTTCACTTCCAGTTCTGCAGAATTCAGAAGTGGACCTTGGTGTTGTTAAAGACTGCGTTTAGTAAGCTGATTTGAGTGGCTCATCACATTCGATTCAAGATAATTATCAGACCAACACCCTTCCTTTAAGTTTAGGACGTGCTGGCAGCCTGAATTGAATTAAGGATTTTAATGTCTTTAATTATTTTTTTTATTTAATTTTTTTAATGCTCTTAATTTGAGGGGAAGCATTGGAATGAGAAGGTAACGTCAAAAATCTCTTTAAGAGCTGGAGGTCTCTCTGAGACCAGTTCAGGTACATTCTCTTGATTACCCAGAAGTTAAAGCCAGTTTAGCAGCATAAAACTAAAAAGCTCCTATCCTAGGGCTAGCTCCCAAAGATTTAAACGTGGAAAGGGAGTGAGGAGGACCGTCAGGGTGTTATCACCATTCTGGGTGGCTGGCGTGTTAGCTCCCTGCCAGTGGAACGTCCTCTGATGTAGCACATAGTAGATGGAGCTACTGAAGGTAATGACTAGAAAGGTTTCCCAAGCATTCCTTGGTATCAAGATCAAAAGCCACTTGAGGGCTTGAAGAAAACTCTCTGAGCAGGGAGAATGACCACCAGAGAAATAACGTATCAGCCCCCTGGTTTGACACTATTTCTACTAATGAAGTGCAGGTAGAGAGGAGCAGTCCGCAGGTGCAGCCTTGGATGGCAGCAGTGCGTTGGCAGCAGCAGCAGGAGAGACCACGTCGTTGCTCTCTAGCTGCTTGGACCCAGACTCAGAGGCATCAGATAAGGAAAGCCAGTGTAATCCTGCTGTCAGTTTATAAAGTGATTTATGAATGTTTTCAGTCTGGTACCTGCCACAAGTAATCATTTCACAAAGAATTATTTTTGGAGTGTTTGTGAGTTTGACCTTGGTGTTTTTCTTTCTGTTACCTCAGGAGCTAAAACTGATTGGGCTTGACATACCCCACTTTGCTGCTGATCTGCCCATGAACCGCTGTAAAAATCGCTACACAAATATCCTGCCGTGTAAGTACAATATATACAGGCTCCTGCGAAAGTCCCTCGAGAGGGAAAGAAAAGTTTTAATAAGAGAACTGGAGAAGGAGGACAGCTTTTCTGAATGATAAAATCCTGTTCTAAAACCTGCCCTTAGAGAGAACCAGGCAATAGATGGTTTTTGTTAGCTTTGAAGAGATGTAGCTTTCTGAGAATGTTTATCAAGACGGGAGTTTGGACGTGAGAAACACAAGGTCATTTCTACTACTGAGTAGTGTTACTATAATTTTCTTACGATTCTAATGAAACCTAAGGGAGCCCAAAGGGACAGCAGTTGGGGGGTTAATTTTGCAGAACAGCAATGATAATACATCCACATAGTGTTTAGTGAAGCAAACATTGCTCTCGATTGATAAATAATGAGCATTCTCTATTTTTTTAATAGATTTTTTCAGTCTTTATAGGATTAATTTTAATTTTGACTCGTTGGAGATAAGTGCTGTGTTTGAGAGCCAAATTTTTTTTTTTTTTTCCCCTTTCACAGATGATTTTAGTCGTGTCCGGTTAGTTTCAATGAATGAAGAAGAGGGATCTGACTACATTAACGCCAACTACATTCCTGTGAGTACAGAGTCTCAGTCAGTCTAAAGAACAGTCTCCTGCACAGCAGTCGGAGCGTGCTCCCTGCAAGTAGCGTGGTATCTTCTGGAAGCTCAGTCACGTTCTCAGCATCTCCTTCAGCTTTCAGTATTCTGCCTGCGGGGAACTGTGCTTTTCACCCTCCACCAAAGAAAAAAGCCAACCCCAAGGGTGGTGATGGGGAAGATTTTTGGCAAATTTTGCCACAGTAGCACTGGGTGAGCTGTGAACCTTTGCGAAACCTAGACTGGACTGGTAGAGAAATGGGGAGGAAATGTTAAGTGGTGCAGTGGCATTTCAAGACAGCTAGGAGAAACACAAACTTTTACATGAGAAGCTTTTCCAGGTTTCTACAACACATGGAGAAAGGATTCAGCCAGGCGCTCCACAACTGACCCACCGTGCCCAGCCCAGAGGGTGCGTGGAGGGAGCTGCTGCCTTCTGCCTCCTCTCACCAGCGTGCCTCCCTCTGCCTGGCACCGAGCAGCCGGCTGCCAGGGAGCAGCCCCCGGCATGCTAGGAGAATTAAAGTATACACGGAGCTGTAGTCAAACGGTTTGACGCTGGCGGTGGGCTAAAGCCCCATCAGCCCTTTCCACCCTGGCCTGAGCTCACGCAGTCGCTTAGTCTTGTCCCTGCGGCTGCTGCAAAGGGTTGTCCCTCTGTCATCCCCCCCTCCCCGTGGCGCGGTGGAAGCTGTGCCATGGAGAGCGGCGTCCGCCGGGTCTCTCTGCAGGGAGAGGACGCAGGGCATCGCAGCATCCATTCAGAAAAAGACCTTTCACTCAGGAACCGTAGACAGATGAGCATTTCTGCACCCTTGCTGTGAGCAGAAGGCAGAGCTGACCCTTGGCTCTGCTGTGGAGAGCTCAGTCAGCATTGTGGAAAAGGGAGGAGCCCTCAGAGAAGTCAGTGAAACCACTTCTTTGTTGCTGTGGCATCGCCCATGTGGGTACTGCTGAGCACGCTGCCTGCACGCAGTTTCTGTGGGTCAAGAGCGTGAGCCTAAACACTCAAGGTATGAGTGCCTGAGCTCGCCGCGAATCAAGAAAGAAAAATGTTGCAGCATTCAAAAGCATCATTCACAAATCGGGAAGCTTCTGTGACATGGGATTATGGATAATACGATTTTATGTAGCCGTCCTTTTTCGATTGCTCAGTTCTGCTTTTTATAGCTTACGTCTCTCTAGTTCAGCATAATGCTGACCATAGAAACTAGGACAGAGGTCTCATCTTAGTGCTTGGCTTTTCCTGACGACTGCTGCTCCACCGAGCACCTGCCTCCAAACACGGCTACTGGTGGCGATCTGGGTCTCTGATAACAGAGGTTTGGCGCTTAGGTCAGGCGTAGCCCCTGCAGACAAACAAATAGCAAATTCTGTGTAGTGCAAAAGCCCAGGTTGAGCTGACTTCTAGATATGTCTGGAGGAAGCCGTTTATGGAAAGTGCTCCCAAATCGCGGGTGTTTTTACAATCCCCACACTGTGGTGGCACAGAAATTGCCCAGTTTGCATGGGATCATGCTGTGTGTTGGATCTATCTTTTGTTCTGATTAGCAGTATCAAATAACTTTCCAAATGTGGTTTTGATGATACAATCTCAGCAGATATGGTTAGAGCAGATGCCAAAATGGCCATTCTGCGGACCTTTTTATTACAGCCTTTATAACGGTCTTTTGGTTTTGGAGAGGGGAAGGAGCCTTGCTAACTAAAAGCGTGTTGATAGAGATAGGAGAAGGAATACATGGATCCAAAGCATCTGAGCTTCAATAAAGCATAGCAGTGATAATCTGTTAAGGGTGTGGACTCAGCATGTTCTCTATTTTAAGCAGAATTCTAATTAATATTTTACTAATTTAAATCCTTATGAAATAAACACGTGCACATAATCCTGCTCGTTGCTACCTTCATTTACACCAGTGACTGAAAATCACCACAGGTGCTGTCTGGGCTGAGCAGGCTAAGCTTCTGTAATTGTTTTTATGTCTGTAGCTAAACTTAGAGTATGAAATGTGGAGGAAGCTGCAACGTTGACGTAGGATTCTCATTACTTGTTTTTTTAATGTTGCCTTTCCTGTTGTCAGGGCAGAGGATTTGTGTGATAACAGTTTCATCTTCTGTCTTTCATTCTAGATTGTTTACACTTTGGGAGGAGTATCAAAAACTGGCAAAAGTTGTAATATGAATATAAATACAAAAAATCATGAGTTAGTTTCTTTATATTAGAAATCACTTTTAAAAGTACAAAATTAATTTGAGCAAGCTAAAAAATGTGTATGCCAGAGAAAAATATGTGTTCTGAAGCATTAAACATGTTGATAAACAGCACCTGTCTCTTTGTTTCTTAGGGTTATAATTCACCCCAGGAATACATTGCAACCCAAGGACCACTGCCGGAAACTAGGAATGATTTTTGGAAGATGGTTCTCCAGCAAAAATCTCAAATTATTGTAATGCTCACTCAGTGTAATGAGAAAAGAAGGGTATGTAACAATATCTTGCACATAGTATAAAAGAAACTACACTGAAAATGTATTTATTTTCTGGTGGGTGAATTTCTTTGCATTGTTTTCTGATCATGAGGCAGCATCATAACCAGAGCTGGCATGGCACTCCGTTCACTTATGGCAGGCATTTCAGGATGGTTGAGGGACTGGAGCATCTTTCGCATGAGGAGAGGCTGAGGGAGCTGGGACTCCTGAGCCTGGAAAAGAGAAGGCTCAGGGGGTTCTTGTGACTGTGCATAAATACCCGGTGAGAGGGAATGGAGACAAGGGACCCCTCAGTGGTGCCCAGGGACAGGACAAGAGGCAACAGGCACAAATTATAACACATTAAATTCCATCTGAACATCAGGAAACACTTTTTTACTGTGAGGGTGACTGAGCACTGGTACAGGTTGTCCAGAAGTTGTGGGATCAGCATCGCTGGAGATATTCAAAAGCTGTCTGGGCATGGTCCTGGGTAACTGGCTCTGGGGGGCCCTGCCTGAGCAGAGGGGTTGGACCAGATGACCTCCAGAGGTCCCTTCCGACCTCAGCCATTCTGTGTTTCTGTGCTTTTACTTTTAAATAATAATGAAATACCAGTATTATGCTTTACGTTTGCCTTGACATTATAACAGGAGTATTTGGAATATTACTTATTTTTTAGAGATATGTTCTTGTTCCCCATGTTTTGTTCCTTTTAGACCTATTCTATTAGGAAAAGTAACAATCTACAAGGACACTATCTATTTCCATTCTTTGCTATACCAATGTTACCCTTCAGGAAATCAATGTATAGCTTATGTCTACAGTTACAGCAGTTACAGAAATAGCAATGATCAGACTGACAGTCATTGCAGGATCTTAGTGCAGCATCAAGTAAATAGTGCTGTAGAGATTTCTAAAACTGAGGTTCAGTATACTTTTGAATATGCTTTTTTATATAAGCATATATATTTATATATATATAAATATGTATTTCTGTGTTTCCCTTTCAGGTGAAATGTGATCATTACTGGCCTTTTACAGAAGATCCTGTTGCATATGGGGACATCACAGTGGAGATGCTGTCTGAGGAGGAGCACACAGACTGGGTTTACAGGAGTTTCCGAATTAGCTACGTAAGTGAAACATTTTGCATAGCCCTGCTGTAAGGGTGGGAGTAATTTCAGTCCTGCCTCTTCTTTAAGTGTTGTCCATTTCTGGCATTCAGTGGAAGATGCTTAAGAGAAAGATTGATGGCCTTACCCTCCCTCCACACAGGCAAATGGCTAAATCGCAAAAATGTTCCCCTAAAACTGTCTTTGCTATGAATTTCTCAGCAAAATGCAAGACTGAATCAAAAAGTAATACTAGAGCTCTGGGCATTTCTGTGGTGCCAATAATTAGTGACAACAAATGTGTAAACTTCTTTTCCTTAACTCTGGCATACCTTCTTGCTAGAAGCTATTCAAAACTTGAAGATGCCAATGTAGAAATTGAAAATATTTTTCAAAAGGGCAATTCTGCAATATTCATATATTCCTAGAACGTATTGAAGCACACGTGAGAGCATGAGATTTCCAGATCGAAGCTGTTCAGATTTTCAAGCGTTTCTTTCCAGCTTTGTTTCCTGCACCAGCTCGGTGCCAGCGCCAGCTCGTTAGAGATATGGAAGGGAGATGAAAAAACTGGCACGTCAGCGCTGGCCCCGGACCCTAGTCCTACTCGGTCATGCCTCACTGCGTTGCAAAGGGCGCACAGGGCAGGCTAAGGGTGCAAATGCATAAAACACGATGCGTTGGGCTGTTGGCATCCACGGAAAATAATGATGAGACTGCAGTTTGCAGTTCAGGTAAACTGTCCTTTACCAAAACCAGGGCAGCGACTTCAGGGTCTTTTATACTAATCTCATTTTTTAATATCCTGTGCCTAAGGTTCTGCTGTTGCCTGTGACTGGAGAGGGGACACTGCAGTAGGGGTGTTTAGCCTCACCCAGAATGGCAAAACTAAAGGCGTTGCTTGCCGTGTGTTTGGGTGATGACACCCTCACCTCTCCCCATGTTTTGGGTTTCTTTAAGTCTCAAAGACAAAATGTGTTGTGTTGAGGATCTTGTCTCACCTAAAGGCACTAGAGTCCTTACCGGTGGAAGGATTTTTTATGATAAAGGGTGTTCTTCTAAATATTTCCTTTGCCCTGTAATGATTTTTTCTTCTCTTTTGGTATTCTTTTTCCTTTGAAACTTCAAAAGAAAAACTCTCAAGAGTCCAGTCTTGATTGTTTACCAGCAGTGTTGTTCTTTATCTGTGGCCAAATGAGAAAAGGAAAGGAAATGGAATAGAAAGAGGAAGAAAGCTCAAACTGGAAAAATGCAACAGTTCTTGATTTAAAAGCAAAATAAAATTGAGCCACCATGCTAAAAAAAGCAAAAAACAAATCCCAAACCCAGAAACTGGAGTTCGTGCCTTTTCCATAATGCTGGCCTGATACCTCCCCCCCTTTTAATCAAATAGCACATAAATTCTTTTCCACTTTTTTTGGCTGACTTTACTTTCTTTAGCTGCATTTGGGGGGGAAAAAATCCACTGCAAAACAATGAAAAAAACCTCAGTCTAACTGAGCGTGACCGTACTGTTCAAACTCCTGTGAACATGCTGCTGTTCTGCTTTTCCCGTCAGGCCGATGAGGTGCAAGACGTGATGCATTTTAACTACACTGCCTGGCCAGACCACGGGGTCCCCACGACCAACGCTGCCGAAAGCATCCTCCAGTTTGTGCAGATGGTCAGGCAGAAGTCAGCAAAGAGTAAAGGCCCCATGGTCATACACTGCAGGTAAATGCTTCGAGGAAATGGAGAACTGAAGGAGGAAACTCATTAAATAGCTTAGGAAACCGTTGGAAGGAGGGGTTCTGGGGTTTTGCTTGCCTGGTAGCTGGAAATGGTTCTCTTTGGTGGTAAGGGTGAAGGATTAGTGCCCTGCTTTGACTACTGGGATTTCAGCCTGCAGCCATAGATGCGAAGGAGTTGCTTTCTAGAGGAGAGTCATATCCTTGGATGCTGTAAACAAAGGGCTTCAGGGGGCGCAGCAGGCGATCCCGATTCTCACCAGCTTGGAGCCTGGCCCTGCTCTCCCGTTTCCACACCTTCATGCTGCGGGTAGCGCGCCTGTCCGTCAGCCTGCCGCAGCGTGCTGCTCCCTGCAGAAGTGCGGCTCTGCGCAGATCCTCCTCCTCCGGGCGCTCGGCTTGCAGTGCGTGCAGGAGGCGACACGAAGAGTGCTGCCCTGGGCTAGCAGGAGTACAAGTGCCCCATGATAACAGTTACATGGGGATGGGGGGGGTTGTGGGTTTTTTTGAGGATTGTTTTCTGTGCTGTCGGATTTATCTCTTGTGCATCATCTGGCCATTGATTGAGACGCTCGCTTGCTCGGCCCCGCGGGGGGCAGCTACTGTGTTCGTGATGGTATCATACCAGATTGGTTCCCGATGCAGCTCTCCCGACTGACTCCAAACCTCTCTGTGGCTCCCAGAGCGAGAGCTACTCGCAGCAGTTTGCTCAGAGATACGTAAGCAGGCAGGCTGCAATGAGTGCATGTGTGTTCATTGCGGTGACACTCTCCTAACAGAAGTCCAGGCTCAGAGAGATTGATCTCGGCCACCCCTGCATCACCCACCCCAGAGGCAGCAGTTACGTTGCCGCACAACGCGCTGGCACCCTCCAGCGTGGCCTTTTCTGGCACTGATGTGATGGTCAGCACCAGCTCTCTCTTGCCACCACTTTGCCCACTTTCAAGAGCTCCTTCCCAGAAAACGGTCTTTTATAGCGATATATTGCTGGTTTCCAGAGAAGGCACTTCGTGCTCTACTGGAATGCACAACAGCAGCATTTGTAAAAGCAGTGAGTCCCCTCAGCCCTCCCCTGTAACTTAATGGAGAAATTCATAGGGGATATTGTTCTGGGAGTCTTAACATCAAGAAAGGTGCTGGTAAGCCAGGGAAGAGTTTTATGTGTAGTGTTGTGAAATTAAACCTCTTGTATACCACTGAATTGTTCTGGGAAGGAACAGAAGCAAACATCAGAGAGCTGGGTAACAACTGCAGTATTTTCGTTTTAATCAGGATGCTTCTACCAGCAGAGAGAGATATTCTCAGTATTTTTAGAGTATACCATAGGTCTTAGACCACATAGTTTAAAAGCAGCAATGCCGTGAAATTAGTGGAAGGGGGGAAGAAAGAATGTGTAGATCAACTGCTACAGCAATTGTTCTCAGACGTTGAAGAAGGCATAGGACTGACATCATTACAACTTCTCTGTTTGTTGTTTGTGAATTTAGCAATTAATGTAGCTGTCAAATAACTAGATCAAAAGTTCCATTTTTTTTAAACACAACGAAAAGAAAACACTGTTTTGTGAAAGCTGTGTTGAACTGTGTTGAGATGAACTGTTGCAACTTTGCAAATATTTTCAAGGCTTTTCTGAAAAATACAAGTAGACAGCAGAAAGAACTTTAGCTAAGACACATAATTCTATTCTTAGAGGTGGCGTTGGGAATCTATATGAAACTCTTTAAAACCTCTAAACCCACACCCGTCATGAAATCGGTCCTAAACGTTACATGTGAAACCACAGTGCAAAGATTTATGTGCACATTAGAATCTCTGAATAAAAACAGCGTGCCTTTTTTTCTCGTCATTGAGCTTCCCTTTGTAGGAACAAAGATTCATCAGCCGGGCAGTTGCTGACTGTTCCTCGTGCTCCCAAGGCGGCCGCGCTGGAGCGTGGGCTCTGCTGGGTGGTTTGTCCCTGGAGGGTGAACCGCAGCTGCGCTGGGCTTTGCCGACAAAGCCGGCAGCTTTGCGGTGCGGAGAGCTGCGGAGCCAAATCGGGCAGGTTCAGCCGCAGTCGCTGCCGAGCGGGTCTCTGCAGCTATGGCCACGGTCCCTGTCGTTACGAGACGGCTCGTTAGATCTGTGAGGGGAGCGGTGGCAGTGGCTCCAGAGAAGGAGACTCCACAACCTCCCTGGGCAGCCTGTTCCAGTGCTCCATCACCCTCAGAGGGAAGAAGTTCTTCCTCATGTTCAGCCGGAACTTCCTCTGCTTCAGTTTGTGCCCATTGCCCCTTGAAGACAGGTAAGGGTGGATGGAGCTGTGCACGTGGGTTCTGCGTGCGAGTGCGTAAAGAGGAACATAGGAAGGCGAAACAACCGCAGAGCCACCCGTTCCATACATTCTGCCTACACAGTGTATGGAAGGGCTGCATGGCATTAAATCCTACGGATGAACTGGCCTGTCTGACCTGAGATTAGCTTCATCCAATTATCGCAGCCACAGGGCACCTGCTTTGTGCAGTACCTCTGATGATCCTCTGTGTCCCCGTCAGGAGAGCCTGACGTGAGATGCGTGTCTGTGTGTGTTGCAGTGCTGGAGTGGGACGAACGGGAACCTTCATCGCCCTGGATCGGCTCTTACAGCACATCCGCGATCACGAGTTCGTGGATATATTGGGCCTGGTGTCTGACATGCGGTCCTACAGAATGTCCATGGTGCAGACAGAGGTAAGGTCCGTGCGCTTCAGCATTGCGAATTTGTCGTCAGATCTATTTCATATCTCTCTGTGGCATGTTCTGGTCCAACGGCTGTTGTTCCTCCTGAGCGCTTGGCAAAATAGCTATGAATAGATGCAACTGAGTTTTCATTTTCATTGCAATATTGTCACGTTATTAATCTGCTGCGTAGGTGGGTCTGATAACATTTCAACAGTCTCACTGATGTCTTCCAGAGCGGATGAGTTATTCTCACCTTCTGTGAAATCAATGTGCAAAAAATGCATTAGAATAGATTAACATAAGAAATTTTCAAACCATTCTGAAAACAGTTTGGCTTACTGAGGGGATTAATGACTCATCAAACGATATCAGTATGGGACAGCCATTCACGCTTGTTCAAGAGGATGTCATCTGGCGAAGCGTAGGAACTCGGTTACATGATGGCAGTACAAATAACCAGCAAAACAGACAAAAAGAACTGTGAGTCTGCCAGACACCCTCCTTACCCTTCTCCCTGCCCAAATATCTATTGGGTATTTCTTCTTGTATTTGTAAGGCAAATGTCAGGAGAATAGTCATACTGTCAGAGTATATAATGGAAAAAATTCACAAATTTTTTTTTCCGAAGCAGAAGCTTCTATGCATCTGAAACCTTCCCAGTTCCTCTGCTAATGAGGGAGAGATTTCACGCCTGTTGTACTCTTCACTGGTCAGACGCAGTGTAAGCTGGCAACCTCCATGCAGCTGGAAGTGCCACCATCACTGTTTGCAGGCTGGGACTGGCAGATCATCTGTCGCCAAGGATTGTTTAACCCAGAGCAAAGCAAAGAAGACTTAGCAGGGAGAGGAGAGGGGGAGGAAAACCTGCAGTGCCAATAAGCTAGCATCTAGAAATGAAAAAAGGTCATTGTTCTCAGACCATTTCGGATCATTCCTATCACACTACCACTTCCCATCATAATTCACTGAATTAATCCAAAGGCTGATCCTTATGTAAATGCCAGAGAAACAAATCCTGATGGTTTATTTCAGCTGCAAATGCATCACCACTCTGGAGGTGATGTGATTTTTTTTTTTTAATGTAAAAACCCATTGCCTGTGGGGGGCTGCTGTCGAGGACTGGGCTTTGACGGTGGCCTATCTCCTGCTGCTCCAGGCAGTGGCCAAGCTTGGCCACGGACGTCACTGGGTGGCAACAGCACTCGGGTGCAGAGGCCACCAAAATGGCTTCCCTTACCAAACCTGAAACCGCACACAGCTCGCCTGGGTTCGCGTTGCCTCGTACACTGGAAACTTAGCAGTGTCGTGCTGAGCAGTTAAAAAAAACAAACGGCACAGACCCAAAAAGGGGGTTAGATTGGAGAACACTCTGAATTGAAACCAGTCAATCCAAATTAGTGGATGTGAAGAAGTCCAGGCATTTCTGTGGTCTAAAACATGTTTCAAACTCCTGTTGATATCTCCTGGGATCAGCTGATCACAGGGGACAGGGACTGAAATCCAGACTCGGGCTTTGGACCTTGGAACTCTGCCTTGGGACAGTTGTTTTTGCCTGAGATCCATTTGCTCCTTGCGCATAGTGCACTTCAAGCTTAGTGTGGGATTCATCAGGGATTGCCTTGTCTCTCTTTGGAAGGACCTTAATTGATGACTTTTAGATTTCCAGTTGAATTACAGTGTTTATCTGTATGATGATAGTGCTTACAAAAGCCAGACCATAACCAAAACCAAAGATAACCAGTCTTGTTGCACAAAAACCTGTCCACAAATATGACAGTACATGTGATTGACCCGCCTTGCTTACAGTGTCATTTGCAGAGGGCTTGTAACTCCCCAAATAATTAACTGCTCTGTCAACAAAATCAGGTTTCAGCTTTTTATTGGTGAAGAAGTCAAGCACTAAGGAACGTGAAGTTCATTTAAATATTTCAGGTCCATAAGTGGCACATATGCAATTTGCACATAAAGCATTCGGGTACCTTTCTGGGAATTAATTCATTTTCGGGCAATATAAGCTAGACCCACTTTAGTTCAGATCCAACTGAACAGAACTGTTCTATTCCATTAATCACCTGTTATCATTCAGGTGATGGTGTGCTATCATTCAAGTGATTATGATGCCTAGGCAGCTCAGGTGGATTTTGTACTCGCCCAGCTGCTATTGGGAACAGCTGGGGGCTCTTAGGGAGCAGACAGCTCACTGTCCATTCTGTGGGGCTGAGGGGGGAGAGATGGGGAAGCTGTGCAGGCTGTTACTGTGAACTATCAAACGGTGTCACTCTTTGGGTTTTTGTCATCCTTTCTGAGGTGCAAAAATGCCCACTCATTTGGTTTTCTCTTGCAGGAACAATATATTTTTATCCACCAGTGCGTGCAACTGATGTGGCAAAAGAAGAAGCAGCAGTTCTGCATCAGCGATGTCATATATGAGAACGTCAGCAAGTCCTAGTTCAGAGTCACAGGTGGTGAGTTGGGCACGTGCCATGCCCACAGCCCCGCGTCCCGGCTGCTCGGCAGCAACCAGTGTCATGGGCATTTGCTCCAGGAGCTTTGCTGGGGCTCTGGGGTTTTCCAGGTCTCATCCCCCTCTGAGGTGATGCTCACATGGAGAGGGTGAGGAAAATCCCTCCAGCCTCTCACAATATTTTATCTGCTATACTTCCCATGGCACTATAGGAATGTGGTGGCTTACTCATCATTCGAAGAAAAAGAGAATCTGGAAATGCTGTGCAAGCCATCTAACCATTCATTCCCTGCCACTTGTCCTAACACACCTTACAAAGTTTGAAGGAGGGGAGGACTTTGTACCTTCAGTCATTCTCCAGCCACTTACCAACTGCCAGGTTCCCAAGGCCAGCAGAGCTTTGGGGATGCTCTGCCAGCACTGCTATTGTGGCGAGGCGGTAACCAAAAAACTCTGGCATGAAATGCTGGGGATTTTGTTTTTATAAATCTAGAACCGGGGAATAGGAGGTGTCTCAGACTGGTGCCAATGTTAGCGTGAGCGCAGCGACCATCTTGCCTTGCCACTGAGCCCCAGCGCCTGACCGTGCACGCAGCCAGCCCAGCCCCGTCCCCGGCTGCAGAGTGAAACACAGGGCTCTGACCTGCCGAGAGATCTGCCGGTGGGGACAAGCTGTGAGGGCGTACATCACTGCTGTTCAAGCTAATGAGCTTTAGTTCATTAGGTGGCAGTAATAACTCAGCCATAACCTCAGTATTTGCTTTTGGGTGAAGCAGGAAGCTACAGACTCAACGCGTCTCTGCTGCGTGGCTGTGGTGTTGCACGTGCGCCTTTCCTAGCCACGGCGTGCATCATCCCCCCGCCCGTAAAATGAACCCCGCTTTGCCTCACCTTTCCTCATGTTTACTGTCGAATCTGAGTCCCAGAGCCAAGCTGCCTGTACTGGTGGCCTGCAGTTCCTGCCTGTATGGAGGGCTGGTAAAAATAAATGCCAAGAACTGTATTTATTTCCATTTTTTAATTTCTAAAGCATCTCGTTTGTTCAGTTCCAGGTGAGACCCTGAAGCACACCCATCTTCCCTTGCTTCTGATTTTTTTTTCTTTTGATGGTTTGAACGGCCAGTTGTTCTGCCAGGAGAGACCGCTGCTTTGCAGTACACGGACAACGAAAGAAAGAAACTTTTAATTTGCTGAAGCACTGGGGAGAAAAAGCCTTAACGAGCCTGCGGTGTCTTTTGAACTGTTTCATTTCTGGACATTTTTTTAAAATACTGGACCAAATTCAACTAAACAACATGAAGGAAAAGACACTATATGTGCATCAAATGGATTGCTCCAGAGTGTTGGGTTTTTGATTGGTACTTTTGGTTAATTTTTTTAATTATTTTTTTTTCTGTGCAGGTTGGGCTTAAGGTTAAAGTAAGTGCAATATTTTTTTAATGGCTGACTGAAGAGCTTTCTTCATGTGTCACTGGTCTGTGCTAAGGTCCATAGGAGAGCAGGCATTGTTAGTACCTAATAATACCTCATTAGTGAATAGCGAGGCATGAACATACATGAAGAACTCTGGAGATTCTGAAGAGAAAAGGGGGTGGGAGGGTGGGGGGAGTTGCTGGCTACGTGGATTTGACTGTTTCCTGCAGCACTGATGTATCTGGGGCCTGGGGGGAGCACAAGACCTGAGGAACGGACTGACGAGCAGCAATCCAAACATGAAGCCTGAAGCTGAAGCAGGCAGCCGACACTAAGAGATGGGGTGGTTTTGGTTCTTGACTGTGTTACTACTAATTAAGCTGAAGGACTGCTCTTTTCACCAGCCTGTTCAGTCATGCCACAGATCAGGCTCTTGTTTTAGATTAATCTAATCAAAGGGCAGCTGAGTTTCAAGCTGGGCTATCTTAGACTCCATTACTATAGCATTTAACTGTCGAGCAGTCTATGGTGCCTATACCCCTCATTTGTTTATTATTTTTAATAAGTATTAACCCTGTGTAAAAACGTGAAGCTGATTCAGGTTGGGGGTGGTGGAAAGGGGGAAATTAAAAAAAAGTGCTTTAACGGATGTAACTATTTCTCTGAGCCAGGAATTCACGATGTTACAAAAACAAGGTTTTGGCATGTGAAGGGCTGGTTATCGCTTTATTGCTAGGAGGCTGCCAAAGCGTCGGTGTGGATTCCTGCAGGGGCTTCGGGGTCAGGGCGGGGGGGCTCTTTTCTTTTTTGCTGTCAGTTTCAGTTCTAGTCAGAATTATTAGCTATATATCTATTTTTTTTTGTCTTTGTATAATTCCGGTACATCATTGTGTATTGTGACATGGATGCTGTCAGAATGGATGTCGATGGCATTTTTTGTAACCTGTTGCTTTGTGTCACCTCCTTGGAAGTTAGCAGCAATGGTACTCAATGTAAACAAAGCAAACTTGAACTGAAAGTAAACACACTGGATTGCTTACCTGTGAAGAAGTCACTGTCAGCGAAACAGCAAACACACCCACATACGCTTTTTATTTGCCCCGCGGCCTGCTATCACCTGTCACGGTACGAGGGTGCAGTTTGGTAGCTCAGCTACTTCCCAATAACCTCCTTCAGATGGTATTTGAATTTTTCCTTCCAATGAGTTGTTCCGCTAGCAGGCTAATAGGTGTCTGTTCCCTTAATATCTATTTCATCATCGTATTGGTCACAGTGGAAAACTTTCTTCAGACTGTCCCATCGGTGTTAAGCAAAACTGCATAGACTTAACATAACGCCCCAAAGAAAACAGGTCCTGTGAAGGGTAGTGAAGAAACAGGACTCCACCTCCGATTATTCAATGCGTATGATATGAACTGCGCCCCACCTTCTCTTCCCAGGCATCTAATACTATTTCCACAGTTTCCACTAAGCCCAGTCCTAAAGCAGAGATGCCATTTCTCTAAAGAAGATGCATAGGGATAGGGGCAAAAGGGCGGAGAGCCCTGCCTTCAGGGAGCAGATTGCTAACAAGACAGGCTTCAAAGGTACACAGTTCTCTTATTTCACCAGTGAGCCTCAGCTGGAGGGCTTGCCATTTCAGTAGGAACAGCAAAGATTTGTCTGACCTAATCTGAAGAGAAGACAGAATTATAAATGAGCACTTGACCATTTAGACCTTGCTTTCATGCTTTTTTTTTTTAAAAAGTTTCGTTATATGTTTACTCAGAAAATATGGTCAAATCCCTCTAGAGAACTAGCAGGGGGAAAAAAAACCAACCAACCCACAACTGTTTTTACTTTCTCATCTACTGCCTGCTCCCTCCTGCTGGCGATTGCCCATCAAGTCTACATTTATTCTGTAGCATAAACCAGAGTCAGCAGCCTTACTGTTACAAGTAAAAGGTAAAAACACAAAATATCAGTATGAGCTGGCTGTAACAGAAGCTTGGCTGAACATGACAGGGTACAAGATTGCTGCAAAGATGCCAAAATCACATTGTTGCAAATGATACTGCCTGAGTAGCCTGAATTTATTATACAGTTTTTTGAATGCATGTCAAAAAATTTATTCCATTTGCACAGAAGCAGGTGTGTATTTTTCCTTTAGTAGCTACTTAATCACAAAGTAACTCACAATGAAAAGGTCTTCAGAAAAATACCTTTTCCTACCCCACAGTGTATGCAAAACTGCGTAACTGGGTGTGTTGGGCTAGCAGCGGACACCACCTCTCCCAGAGTTCAAGACATAAGTAAAGCAATGAAAGAGTCTGGGAGACATCGTGGGTCAGAAGACTCTGCAGAGCCTTTTGGCCTGCATTGACCTCCTACTTTGGTTTTACCTTGTCACGCTCCTTGAAAGCAAATCTAAACGAACAATGTTTTGGACTCTTGCTGTGTGCTGATATGGTTTCCAGCATCTGTCAAAATACAACGCTGAAGTCATCGCAGCTGTAAAGCTGTCTGAAGCGTCAGGTTTTTAATAGTTTTTTGAATTATGGGTTTCATGCCTATAGCTCTGCTGACGGCATAGATGCTGTATATTGATTCGCTGCTCTTACAGCATCTGCTGACCCAGATGCATGGAAAAGCAGCTCTGCCCAGTGAGTGACCATTAATCAAAACCAGGGCAGGTTCTCGCCTTGTTGCCTCATACTGTGCATGCCCCCATGGAAGGAGCAAACAAGTAAACCTAAGGACATGTTTTAGAAGAGCTAAGAAGTTTTGAGAGCAATGTGAAAGTGCTGTCTCTCCTAGCATGCCCTGTGCCGTGACCCTGATATACTTAGGTCTTCAGAACTGTTTCATTCCATCCTCACAGAAGGATTCAGAAGGCTGTGAAGCCTTACTTATGCTTTACTTCATTTTACTGTTTTTTTTTTTCCTGTACGTAAAGAAGACAAAGTTGTCCCTTGTCAGATATTCAACATCATAATCTTACACACCAAAACTGGCCCTTCCCTTCCTCCTCATTCAGCTCATTAAGCAGCATCACACCACCTCACTCCCACTTCTTTTTTAAGGGCTTGTGTGAAAACAGTAGTTTCATTCAGGCAGGCAAAAGCTGTTGCTTTCAGCCATTTCTCGTGAGAGGGTAACATTGTTAGGGCTGTTGAAATGGATGGGAGCAGGGGGGTTGAAGGTTCGCTGCTGCTGTGACCGGCAGCAGTGGCGGCTAGGAAGCAACTAGGAAGCCTCTTCATTTTCTTTGATCTCCTCCTCTTTTAATTAATAAACATTATGGAGGAGTAGAGGCGCAGACTAATACCCTGATACTGGTTTTGGTCTGAATGCTGAGGAAGTAGGAAAAGGCCAAAGCTGTAACCCAAGCACATAACTTCAAAGAAACTGAAGAAAGATACTGAAGAGCCAAAGGCAGTTAAATAGGCTCATTAGCTAAAACTCAGCAGCAGTAAAAGTTCAACGTGTTTGTGCAAAATTTAAATACAGAACCCCACGCACACCTGCAAGTTTCCTCAGGTTTGCCCTTCCCACACAGAACACTGTTGCGTGTATGTGAAGGTGAGAGGCTGAGCACAGAAATATTCTCGCAGCTACTCTTTGATATGTCACGCTTGAGCCTTAGGGCTGCTTGTTTTGTGTTTTACACACTACACATACCTCACAGCTGAGGAAAAACATTATAGAAAACCTGGGCTCCTGTAACATGGTGGCTTGGCTAGAACCTCTCCCTTTCATAACCATGGTTATTGATAAGATGCAGCCCAGGAAAATCAGTGGAGACACCTGCTTGAACAAGGGTCTGGCATTCCAGCTGTATCTTGCTTTTGTATAAGTTCTAAAAACCTGAAAACTCAAAATACCTTCAATTCTCACAATTAAAAAAAAAATCTGCTAGTTACAGGTTTCCAAAGCAGAAAGACTTACTCCACATCATACTAGTTATTCATGGGTATCTGATTGTTCCCGTCACTAAATTAGCAAAGTACTGCTGTTACCGTCCAGCAAAGCACTTCCAGGGACACTTTCAGAGTGTCACAAACATGGATGAATACACTTAAAGTCACTGGGAGCTCTGTACATGTCAGAATATCGTATCATTTTGGATAGCTGCTTCCCCATAAACCATTGATTTATGCACACACCAATAATGTGGAAGTCTGCACTTATTTCCCAGCTCCCTCCAAACCCACCAGCTTTCATATAGCACAACACGTTGGAGCAATAAAAGTATGCATAAAAAAAAAATCTCATTTACGCATTCACAATGCTGTTTAACATTTGAATTGCTAGATGGCAAGTAAACTGTTCCATGCATCAATAATGATTAGAAGTGTTCTTAACAAATTAAATGTGAGGTTTCACAGTGGGTTTCTCTCCCCATGGTGTCCCAAGGGAACAAGCAGACTAAAAGAGTGGGAAGAAGTGCCCTGGTGCTGTTAAAAGGTAAGTATGTATGCACTTTGAAAGCATAAAACTGCTGACTGAACATACACTGCTAAAACTCTCTCCCTCCACCCAGTTAAAAGGCGGACTTGATGGCAGCAAAATAGTAAAATTGTTCCCATGTTATCAAACATGGCTCCTTTTTCCACAGCTAATGAGGCGTTTCTTTGGCATTTAAAAAACTGTTTTGGTTCCTTTTCAAAGACACTTCTCACGTATCCCGGCTTTCTAAAATATTAGTGTAAAAAACTAAATCCTCACTGCTCAAATCCTACAGAAAACATTTTGACTGAAACGCTGTGTTTTACCACTGTTTTCATTTAAGACACTGAAAATTTGGAAGAAAACATTGTATTTTTGTTTGAGGAGCCCTAAACTGCGCAGCAG